TTTGTTTTGTTCCTTCCTTCCTTCCTCCCCCACCCCCTCCAGACATAGTTTCTTTGTCCTGGAACTAGCTCTGTAGAGCAGGTTGGCCTCAAACTCACAGAGTTCCACCTGTTTCCTAAGTGCTAGAATTAAAGGTGTGTGTCACCATTACTCAGCAGACAAAATAATTTTTAATTAACAACTGAACAACAACTTTATAAGTTCCCTCTTACGTTTCCACCATGCAGTGACTACTGCCATTCTACTTTGTTTGATCTTCTTTTATGATTTATTTATTCTTTCAAATTTCATTTTACATTTCAACCACAGTTCTCCCTCCAGCCCCTCCTCTCCCCTTCATACACCCCCCCAAAACTCCTAGCAATAGTGGAAAGGGTGCCCTACCCTGTAAGCAGATGAGTGACTAATCCACCTATCATCATAGAGCTTCCATCAGTAATTGTTTGTTTGTTTGTTTTTTTAACTATATCAAGTACCTCATAGAAGTAGAATTATGAAGTATTTGTCTTTTGGGGAGGGACTAGCTTTACTTAGCACAGTAGTTTTTAAAATTTAAATTGGTTTTCACTGATTTATTAGAAAAATAATTCTCTTTTTGGTTTGTTTTTTGTTTTTTTTCGAGACAGGGTTTCTCTGTATTACTTTGGAGGTTGTCCTGGAACTCACTCTGTAGACCAGGCTGGCCTCGAACTCACAGAGATCCACCTGCCTCTGCCTCCCGAATGCTGGGATTAAAGGCGTGTGCCTCATAGGAGGTGTTCAGGCTTGGACACCTCTTTCAGACGACTTTAGGCCTTAGTTATATAGACATAGTTAGGGTGTGACATAGCAGATTATTGTATCTTCTTGTATTTCACCTTTATTATTGTTAATTTTGGATACTTTACACTGTTAAGTATAAAAGGGAATTGTGGGGAGACAGCGTAACCATGCCTCTTAAGGGCTGGCTACAGGTGTGTCCAACCACGCCATCAGGGTGTGATCAAGGTGATGTCAGGGTGACTCGGTAAATGTTTAAAGAGATATGGGGAACGCACATGTAGCTCTTCTCCCTGTTGCTTTGACTTGCTCTGCTTACCTGTTGGTTGGCTAGGAGCACTGTAAGTAAGGCATATTTCCCTAATAAATATACCCGAACCCTATCTGCTTACGTTTTGGTAAATCACTGCTTATACACCTGCCTCAGCCTCCCGAGTGCTGGGATTAAAGGCGTGTGCCACTAACACCTGGCTAGAAAAATAAAAAATTCTTAAGCATGCTGCTTTGATACATATGCACTGTGTAATGTTTAAGTCAAGTTAAATATGTCTTTATCATTTATATTTCTTTACATTAAAAATTCTTACAGCTTTCTGAAATGTGTGGTATATTATGCATAGTCACTCTTGGTATAATATTAAGATATATCCATAGTAGTCTGTGTCAGAAATTCCTTGTTTTAAGGTAGGATTCTGTTTAAATAAATATCACATTTTGGTCTTCCATTCATCTGCCAATGGACATATAGGTCTTGTCTTAGTGAGGGTTCCTATTGCTGTGAAGAGACACCATGCCCATGGCCATTCTTACAAAGCAAAACATTTAATTGGGGCTGGCTTACGGTTTCAGAGGTTTAGCCCATTACCATCATGGCTGGAAGCATGGCAGCAGCGGGCAGAAATGGTGCTGGATAGATTGCTAAGAGTTCTACATCCAGATCCTCATGCAGCAGGAGGTAAACTGGCTTGAGCTTCTGGCTCAAAGCCTACCCCCCTAGTAACATGCTTCCTCCAACAAGACCACACCTCCTAATAGTGTCACTTCCTATGGACCAAGTATTCAAACACGTGAGTCTATGGAAGCCATTCCTAGTCAAACCACCACAGTAGTATTTCTAGAATAATGTTATTTTCAATTAATTAAAAATAATTGATGTCATTATAACATTTTATATGTGTACCTAATGTATTTCGATCATTTTGATCCATGTTACTCTTGTCCCCCTTCCACTCCCATTGGTCCCCCTTCTCTTCCCAACTCACTCCACCTTCTAATTTCATGTCTTTTTGTGTATGTGAATAACACAGTGATGCTTGATAAATGGCAACATTTTAACTCTTTATTGTCTCCCTCATTTGTCAGTAGAATTTGGATTTGCCCTTAAGAAACAAATCTCTATTGTTTGGTAAATATACATGTTCATATCTATATTGCAGGTATTGCCTCAGTCATTCCCATTTTTGATGATTATTTTGAAATTGTGTGTGTGTGTGTGTGTGTGTGTGTGTGTGTGTGTGTGTGTGTGTGTGTGTGTGTTGTGCCCACAGAGGGCAGAAGAAGCCATGGGATACCCTGAAGCTGAGTTGTGAGCCACCAGATGTAGATGTTGGGAACTGAACTTGGGTCCTCGGAAACAGCAGCAAATATTCTTTTTTTTAATTTAATTTTATTTATTTATTATATATACAACTGTCTGCCTGAATGCCAACAGAAGGCACTAGATCTCATTCAAGGTGGTGTGAGCCACCATGTGGTTGCCGGGAATTAAACTCAGGACCTCTGGAAGAACAGTCACTGCTCTTCACCGCTGAGCCATCTCTCCTGCCCAGCAGCAAATATTCTTAACCACTGAACAATCTCTCCAAACCTGTTAAATAATTTAACCTTTTTATATATGTTGGTGATCAAAATATCTGAAAAATGACCACTGAAAATCTCTTTGAACTGACTCCTACAGCCATGTGGTACTACTTTGTCATGTCTACAAACTGTTTTTTGTAATTTGATATTAAAAGGTTTTCAGGAATTGTAATATATAGGGCCCCTTCTGCTCCATCCATTTATTAAGTTGTTTCTCTGAGGACTTTTAGTGGGGACTAGTTTTAGAGACCAAGATTTGACACATGATGTGTTCATTGCTATTAGAGTGTTTTGTTTCCTGGTTTTTTCAGGAGACAGAACTAGAAAATTTGTGCTTATACTCACACACACACACACACACACAATCATAGGATCTTTTAGATACATATATGAATAAATGTATATATGGACTTGTGAATTCATACCAGTGTTTCTAGTTATATTCCAGTTCATCTTTATACTGCTTTTGTACATGTTCCTGTTTCACATTTACATGTTTCTTCTTCCACAATGAGACTTGGTTCCTAATAATATCAACCTTTGGTCCATGCCTTTAATCCCAGCATTTGGGAGGGAGAGGCAGGTGGATCCCTTGTGAGTTTGAGTCCAGCTTGATCTATAAGACAGTTCTAGGATAGCCAGGGATGTTACACACACACACACACACACACACACACACACACACACAAAGCCATGTCTCAAAAAAGAATAATAATTAATAATCATAATAATTTGCCTGTAATGGTTTTAGCTTCTTTTTTAAATTATTGACTTTAAAGTCTTTATCTGTAGTTTTGAAAGTTTTCTTTTGGATATAGAATTCTTAGTTGACAGTTTGAGCTTTTAGGTTGTTTTCTACCCCTCCTCCAAATACTTTAAGAATATTCATTTATATTAAGGATTTGACATGAAGTCTGTTGTATTTCTTCTCATTGTTCTGTATTAATGAAACTGGTTTATAATTTGATTGTGGTAGTGGTTACTCAACTCTGTTCAATTGACACTATTTATAAAATTTCAAAGAAAGAAGTTTGGTATATCTCAACTTAAAATACAAATATTATAAGGATACTATGCACTGTATCTAAGAATACAATAATGAGTAATCTAGTTTCTGGTTTCACAAATCCTGGTGCCAACATCCTAGCTTTGCAAGACAAGAGACAGGAAGAAACACCTCAAGGTGGTATGTGAGACATAATGAACACTGATTTACTAGCAGGAAGCCTACGAGGGAAAATAAACTTAGCAACACAGAGAGTCCATAAATAGCACTACTCAGGGTTGGGAGTCCATTGGTGGCTAGGTAGCCTGGCAGCATTTATCCTCTCTACATAGTGTTGCTTCACCAAAGTCAAATGGAACTTATCCTTCTCTATAGTATTCCTAGAATCCACTGGTGATGGGCTGGAAAAAAATCATCTGGGGTCTGGTACTCGATGGGCTAAACAAGTGGCACCTCAATCTGCTATGTCACCTCATTCAGTGATGCATATCCTATCCAGTGTTTTGTGATGACTTGGTCCTGCAACCTGCAGGACCAAGAGTACTTGGGCTTTTCACAGTGCTCCTTTTCTGTACTATTTATCACAAAGCCAGATTTTATTGGTTAGATGCCAGAAGTATTGGCATTATTAGCTAGCTTTTGCTCTTTGTATGACTAGCATTCCATTAACAGCTAATCTAGTGTACATGCAGAAAAGCAGTGTTTCTTTACAGATAATGCCAGCTTGCCTAGTTCAGTGTGCTTTGGAGAGGCTAACTTTAATTCTGGCCAGTGGGCCTCCACTGTTTCTTTAGCAGACAGTGTGTTTCAGGGTTAGGGTAGTTGATGCTGATGTTCCACTGTTTTCAGGGATCATGAATGAAGCTTATGAGTGAAATCATAAAATATGGTATTTGATAATGGAAATACCACCAAGAGCTATGGGAGTATAAATTCCTACAGTGTACCACATATAGGGTCTTGCTAGGCCAGAGCTCCACTCTAATGTTATGGTTGGCCTTTCTGGTATCTAGCCCCAGCCTGCTGGTGCCTAGGGTTCTCACTCAAGAACTTGTATGGGATAGAAACTTTGTGCCAGAAAGCACATTGTTTTCTATTTGTCAGGTAAGTTTTCCTGGAGAATGTAGTATTTGAGTGGTTGAAAAGTTGAATAGGTTCAAACATTTGTATAGGGCATTCCAGTCTAAGATAGTAGTTTCTGGCGATTATTAGCAGTCCAAGAACAAACACTTATACAAGTGCAGGGTTCAACATATAGAAGGGCACCAAAGGCAGTTTTAGTGTTAGTATAACAGTGTCAATAGAAAAAATAAGAAACATTAAGTGAACCTATCATTTCATACTACTTATTAATCATAGCACTTTACTTTTACAGAGCAGAAGAAAAAAGAGATTTGCTCATGTTTTTCCGAAGTCTACATTTTTTTGTGGAGTGGTATGAATATCGTAAGAACACATTTAAGCATTTTAAGGTAAAGTCTGAAGATTTTAAATTTAAATATATATAGAAAATGAAGCTGGTGTTAATTTTGTTACTACACTCATAGCCCTCTCTTCCTTCCTCTCACCCTCTCTTCCTCTCTCCCTCTCTCTCTCTCCCTCTCTCCCTCTTTCTCTCTCCCTCTCTCTCTCTCTCTCTCTCTCTCTCTCTCCCCGTCTCTCTCTCCCTCTAGGGTCTCACTAGTTAGCTCTGGATGTTCTGGCACTATGTAGACCAGGCTGGTTTAACCTCACAGACATCTGCCTGGCTCTGCCTCCTGAATGCTGGGATTAAAGGCATGCCCTACACACTTGCTTCAAATTTCAAAAGATAGAAAATATTATCATTGGTTTAATAAATTAGTAATTATTTGTAATAAATGGGTGAGAAACGTCTGTATAAATCAATGGATAATTGATATTGTGGACTTTTATTATTTTGACTATTCATTATAATCTAATTTATTTGAAAATTTTATTTTTGAAAATTCAGCCTTTCAGGGGTACATAAAATACAAGAATAAATGCTAGTAAATAATATATAGTACCAGTTGTAGTGGTGCATGCCCACACTCACAAGGCAGAAGCAGGAAGTTTGGTATGAGTTTGAGGCCAACTTGGTCAATGTAGTGAGTTCCAGGCCAGCCAAGGCTATGTACACCATGTCACAAGCAGCCTATTATACATTGCCACAAAGCAATATAGCTATAACTTCTATGCCAGACTATTTTAAGATGCTGGATTCTTGCACATCTTGAATATAAATATTCTGATTTTTATAAAGTAATGGTTTTAAGTCTGATGGAATATACTTGTTTATGGGCATAAGCAAAAGTTGTTTGGTTATATTCTAATCCCTCAGGTCCTACTTATTTCCATGGCATTGTCATTAACAGCTGTGAGCCACACAAAAACCTCTGAATGAATCAGCATAGTCTTTCAGAAGCCTAACTGATGGCTACTATTTTACAGACTAGTACTAATTCACCTGTATTTGGGATTCATTTCTCTTTTATTATTATTAAACCCATTCTCTCCAATTGAGTTAGTAAAATCTGTCAGGCATAAGGCTTTCTCCAGAATGAAAGATGGACAGTTCCCATACTACAGTCCCTCAAGGAATTCTCATGACCAACTTGTGTAAGAAAGCATTCATTTGGAGTCTTGCTTACATTTCAGAAGGTCAGTCTGTTACCATCATGGCAGGGAGCATGGCAACAGGCAAACAGTGATGGTGCTGGAGCAGTAGATGGGAGTTCACATCTGGTGCAGGCCTTGAGGGAGGCTTTTGAAACCTCAGCTGTCACCCCCAGTGACGCTCCTCCTCCAAGAAGGCCACACCTCCTAATCCTTCTTAAAACAGTTTCACTTCCTTTCACTACACACTCAAATAATGAGCCACTTACTTTTATTTGAGCCACTACATATGTCTTTTGTGGGGTTTTTTTTTTTGTATATTTTTACAGTATTTGTAAGGCGTGAATAATTTTTAGAATATCTCATTTTCGTCTTTGGTGTATGTGTGAGTGTTTCGCTGCACATCTGTGAGTATACTGCATTTGTGCATTGCAGTAGAGTCCAGAAGGAGTTGGGTATTGGCTTCCTTTGAACTGGAGTTGTTGGTGCTAGAACTAAATTTGGGTCATTTGTAAGAGCAATAGGTTCTCTTAACTTCTGAACCGTATCGTGTTATTTTCCTTGGTTCATTTTGGATCTTATTTTTTATTTTTCAATATAAGTGTGTGTAACAAAGATATAAGCTACCTCTGTTCAAGTGCTCTTAACCTCAAAATCCAAATTCTTTAAGTAAATTCTATAATTTATAATTTTTAGCAATGTTCTTTCCTAAATTTTATCTAAATCATTGGCTTTAACTTTGAAAAAATTACAATTATGGTATTTTCTCATTGAATTGTATTACAAAAAGAATATAGAAAGTTGGGGATATAGTCCAGTGGTCCTATCTAGCATGCATTAGGCACTGTGTTCAGTTCCCAGAACAAAACACACCCCCAAAATACCAAACAAATTGTGTTTGGTACTTTTATATATAAAAGATGGATATTTCTAAAACATTGATAATTTTGTGTTCAACTTCAAAGTAATATGTGGACTAATAATTGTGAGTGGGCTACATACCTTCTTCTGAAGTTAATTTAGGAACTTGAATCTGCATTGTTATCACTATTAGACCGAAGGTCAGGTTTTCTCTGTTACATGCATCTGGGAATCATGTTGGTTGAGAAGGGGTGCTCGTGGGCTGGATTGTTAATATTCAGTTTGTTTGGGTGAGCGGGTATACAGCTGATAGTCTACAACAGCACAACAGAATAGACTTTGTTTACATTTCTTATATTTGAACACATTTATTGATTAAATCATTCTTATACTGTGAAAAGTTTACATTTATTTCATATTTGAGAATCTTTAGAGGGAAGGAACTATATATTCTCTGAGGAATGGGTAGAATTTTGATTTTTTTCTTACTAAGTTTTTTTAAGTAATTTTCTAGAGACTGTGTGACCACAAAGCAGAAGATTAACTTTTCTAAATTGTTTCTATACCAAAGAGTAAGTTTTACTTTATCTGGAAAATTTTGCCTACATGTGGCTACCCTTTTCTTAGGCTAAGTGAGAAATACAGTAAAATAGCTGCCTTAACAGAAAGAAAGTTTCTGCTTTTTGGAGAATGTGGATGAATCATGAAGTCAATGGAAGGTCACTTGAACACTTGGATTTTCACAGTTTTTTGGAACATCTGCCTTAAATGCCTTTGAGATACAGTAAATGTTAAGAAAGACAGTTGAAAGTTTCTTGGAATTCTCTTACTTCGTTAGTCATGGGAATGGTGTATCTCATGCAAGTGTTTGTATAAAAGCATGCTATTTAGATGGCAGTCTAGTGTAAACTACAAGGGGTTTTTAGTGCTGTTTAGTTTCACATCATTTTGTTTTGAACCAAGAGATTCGATCTGGATTATTTTGTAGTTACATATAAGAATTTTGGACATCTTTGTTTAAACATAAAATTCTATCATAGTGAGATAAAATGATAATCTTAAACTAATATTTATGTTTCTTTAGATGTTAGGTACACGTACTTTAGACTATAAACTTCATTGATGGTGTTTAAAAGTATGATCCTATAGGTAATCTTTTTAAGCAAATAAAACTGTTTGGATGCTTTCCCAGAGCAATTGGATTGCCCTCCAGGCGAATCTCCTCAATACGGTCCCGAATGTAATGAGTGTCATTAGCCTTGCAGAATGTATCATCTGTAATTGAAGATATGCTGTTAAACTGAAAAATAAAAGGAAAAATACTCAGAAATCCAAAATTAACCCTTTATACATTATACAATAGGACCACACAGTATATCCTGCTTAAAATGTGATCTTTTTAAAAATAATTTTTAAAAAACTAGTTCACAGTGATGATACCCCCTCTTGCAACCTGAACATATTTTAAACTGTACAGTGTTGTTTTAGAATAACAGTCTAGTCATTATTACTCCAAGTTGCAGCTGTTCAATCCTGTTTGCAATGTAAATAGAAACATGCAAGCTAGAAAAAGTATCCTATTCCAACTTGTTGACTCAAAAATGGTACTGTGTGTTTAAATATCCCTTAAAGAGTTGGAAAGGAGTAAGTTGAGATTCTTGTGATGCTGAGATATTAACTTCTACTCCTTTTCATTGTTCTCCACTTAATTCCCACAAGTTAAAACGTCTCCAAAAGCACATATCCACCACTGATTGGAGAAAGAAGCATAAATCAGAAATTGGAGTTCACTATTTGGGGAAAGAAACATAAATCAGTGGTCTTCCAGTCTGTGTTCAGAATAACTAGGAGATGCATAACACTTGTGTCAGTTGCTGGCAGATTACCCAGGTTGGCTAGCCTCCATTATTCTCTGTCTCTGGCCCTTCCCCCTACTTCCACCACACTACAGAAAGCTCAAGAGCAATCCTGGGTCCTGGAAGCCAGCAAGGATTTTAGCATAAAGAAATTGAACTTGGAATGTCTTGGATAATAGGAGTGTCTTTAATTGTTTATGATTTCCCTCTTTCAGAATTTTGAGTTATAATAATGTGGTAACTCATAGTGAGCACTCTAGAAAACTGAAATATAGGACAAGACAAAACAAGCACATGCTTTGTACTGTACCTGCAGTGGGAACAGTGTTGTCAGAGTGAATTGTGGACTTATAGGGTCTCTAGAGACTTAGCAGTATCAGAATTGAATTTTAGAATACTTAGCTGGTGTTGGAGAATTGGTTAGTATTTAGAAAACACCACACATTATGTGTTCCAAGTAGTGTCAGAGCAAAGACGCTCAACTCTCTTGAATTTGGCTTGTTAAAACAGACCACACAATTCCTACCACTGTGGTTATGGTTCCTGTGTGTGTCTCAGTTCTGCTTGGTTATCTAGTGTGCCTGTTGTTTTCTTCATTGTCCTCACGGTGGTCACCATCAAGGGAATCCCCTCTTCTGAGGATGGCATAACAAACAAACACACAAAATACCACATAGGCATCCCAGCCTTTGTGATCATGCTTTTTAGTTTTGCCTCCAACATGTACACAAATCTAAGACTTCCAGTTATATAGACAGTGACAGTGACTGCCTGGTGCCCACACCTTCCTCACTCCAATCAGTTTCAGCTGAGAAATAAGGAGCTGAAGAATACCATGAATAAAATTGAAAATGCAAATGCTCAGTGATAGGATGAACACCTTTCCTGCTCTGTGCAAGGCCTTGTATTCAGTTCTCAGCATTAACTTGGAACCACAGCAGACTGACTAGGAAATGTATGACTAAAGATGTGTTCTGCTTAAGAGCAGACTTTATACTTCCTAGACTGCTCTATTTAGTGTCCTCTGGATTGGACCTGCAATTCTTATTTAAGCATTAAATGATCGAACTGCTTTAGTGATGTAACCATAATTGACATGTAAATGGCTTTCTTGATGAGTAATAAAAATGGCCCCATAGTTAACTAAAGCTAGGTATTATGCAAAGAACAGTTATACCTGTAGGTGAATTACACGTAGACTTTCTGGTAAATTAGGAGGCACAGATTCCAGATCATTATGGTCCAAATAGAGGAAAGAGAGCTTATTCAGTTTCTATAAAGAAAACAATAAATGTCACTGAGGTCTATGCGTTCTTCACATTATTCAAATAATGTATACTTTTAAAATAATATTGATGTAAGAACATTTCAATAGTATCAATATTGGAGTGGCAGTTTGTTGTTGTTTTAATTGTTACTGGTTTTGGGGCCTCGTAAGTACTGTCTTTGTTTTTTAAGACATTTAATATCTAATAAAGCTCTATTGAATATTCCATATTTCTCTGACCATTCATCTCATCCCCTAATACTCAGCCCTTGATATTTGTCTAGGGAGCAGCCGTGTGTAAGATCAATGGTTGAATCCTTCAAGTTCTTTGAGAGAACTGACCTTTCCATAGAAGTTTTATGTATTTCTAAAAAATGGCTACTCCTAAGAGATGGTGCTTAGCAGGATGCTGCTTTTCCAAAGTAATTTGTCAAACATGTAATTTAACATGACATGTGTTTTCCCATGGGGGTTTATGTTGGAATATTCTTTATAATTAGTAACTTACTACTGTTATATGATTGTATGCTATGATTTCAGAATGATTTCTTTTGACATTACTCCTAATGTGTATAAGCATCCTGTGCTACCATGTCACGTTTTATTTGGGGGTGTGTGGTTCTCACCATGTATCTTAAACTACCCTGAGATTTCCCGTCCTACTCCTTCAGCTTCCCAAATGTTGGGATTACATCTACTATACACTATAACTAGATGTTACAGTTTATGATATCTTTATTCAAATAACACCGGCCAAGCATAAGCCAGAGCGTGCCCAGAGGCAGCAAGCTAGGGAGGCCAGAAAGAAGGGCTCCCACGTGTCTGCCACCCCCTTAGGAACTCCCCACGGATCATCCTGAACCTCCCCTGACCATGCCCTGACAGGTGTGGTCAAGCACACCTGTAGCTAGCTCTTAGAAGCGTGGTTTCGGTGTCTCCCTACAATGCACCACTTGTTTATTCTTTCCTATGCTATTATTTCAATCTCTTTTTTTCAATTAAAAAAAAATGTGTGTGTGTCTGTGTGCGCGCGCATGTTCATGGGCATAAGCCATAGTGAACATATAGGAAGAGAACAACTCATAGCCATTGGTTTTCTGCCTCCTTGTTTGACCTGGGGATCGAACTCAGATTGTCAAGCCTGATATCAAGCACCCTTATCTCCTGATCCACCTCCCTACCCCTCAATTCTTTTTTTAAACATTCTACCCTTATAACACATGGACACCAACTATCTTTCCAGGATGGCTTTTATATGAATTACAGTAATCTGATTTTACTAATGGTTATTATGCTGCTAAGGCATTAAATAAAGTAGACAATTTTATCATTTTATGCCAACTTGCCCAATATCCCTTTTGTAAAATCCAAAATATTTAAACCTTCTTTCTTTCTTCCTTCCTCCCTTTCTTTTTCTTTCTTCCTCCTTTCTTCCTTTCTTTCTTTTCCTCCCCCTTTCTTCCTTTCTTTTCCTCCCCCCTTCCTTCCTTCTTCCTTTTTCTGAAATGGTCATGGTCATCCTACCTTACTCAGACTGGCCTTCACCTACTGGTCTTAAGCAGTCCTCATATCTAACCTTTCCAAGTAGTTTGACTACAAGGAGTTGCACTATGTCCTGCTCTAAAACATTCTGTGACCTGCTAGTTTGATTCAAAGACTCCCCTACTTCATTTCTTTATATTACAAAATTTAATTTTGAAAAGTGTGTGTGTGTGTGTGTGTGTGTGTGTGTGTGTGTGTGTATGTATGTATGTATGGGCACGTACATGCAGAGGTCAGGGGACTACTCTGGGGAGTCATTTCTCCCCTTCCAGGTTGTTGAGTCAGGCTCTTCTTATTTCTGCTGCTGAACAACAGGGCTAGGTGATCCATGAACTTCTATCAATTTGCTTGTTTCTTCCTCCCATCTCACCATAAAAGTTAAAAGATTAGAGAAGTATGATATGGAACTTGGGTGTTTAGGCTTTGCTAGTGCCTTTCCATGCTGAAGCACCTAACTAGCTCACAAGGTTTGTTTTTTTGTTGTTGTTTTAGAAAATGAGTCTGGTCTGGTCTGGTTTGGTTTGTGTGTTGAGACATGGTCTTATGGTGTTGGCCATATTGACCTTTAACTTAAAGTCCTCCTGCCTTAGCCTTATGGGCTGGAATTACAGGTATGTACCACTATATACATCTTTACATCTGCTTTGTAAAGTCAGCAAAGACCCCTTAGTTTCTGAATCCCTTATTTAAAAAACGAAACCACCAACATTGCTTATGATATCAACAGTAAATCAATCTTTCAGGTATTTTTTAATAGTATAAAATCAGCTTTTTCTCCAAATGTCTTTGTATTTACATTTACAAATACTTCCTGAATCCAATTCTAATCGACAGAAAAGTGTGAAGCCTTCATAATACTAAAAATGTAACTACCTAGGTCACCCTGACTCACAAAGGTTTCATTGATTCAGCCTTCTTTTCAAGACTTTCTAGTTGAGTAGCATTATCTTACACTACAAAGGGTATAGGTGAGTGTGCAAAAGAATCTTCCTTGCCCCTTTTAGTGGTTTGCTTCTTTAGATCATCTTGTCATGTTCTGAAAATGCCTAACCATACACATTATACAGTTTTGTGTAACTATATCAGCTGTAAATTTTTTTCAATAAAAATACCATAAGGACAAAAACAGAAGCAAAACTAACAAAATCCCATAATGTTGAAAGGTTACCTTAAATATAAATTAAAATAATTTTAAAACAGACAGTTGTGAATATATGATACATTTGTGTGATTACATAAACTAACATAAATGAGAATTTGATAAGTTTATATTCTTAGGAATTCTCTTGTGATATTGTCTAAACTGGTCTTAAACTTCAGGCTCTCCTGTCTGAGGCTCCTGGGTAGTTGCACTTTCAAGTGTGTGAGATCCTGTCTCTTTTTTGTTGTTGTTATTTTTATGTTTGAGACAGTGCCTCACTATACAGCCCTGGCTGACTGGAACCTGCTGTATAACCACCCTACCCTCAAAGGCACAAAGACCCTCCTTCCTCCATCATGTCCACTATACCTCACATCTTGCCTTTGAATTTAGTTGTTTTCTACTAACAGTAGCTTGAGCATCTCACGTTTCTGCCTGAGGTTACCTCCTCTGTCTTCCTAGGGTAGAGATCGATTATACCATAGCTATGGAAGTACTGGACTGGGGTGATAGCATTTAATCAGTTTCATAAAACATTTCCATTCTTTGGAATTACCAGATATGTTCTTTGAGGAACACTGTTATATTATCTAGTAAAGTAAAATATAAAGATACCAACTATTTCTGCTGAATAGGAACAATACAATTTTTTTAAACAATGAGCTAATAATATTTACTTTTAAATATAAAAATATTCATTTGTCATTAATAGAAGACACCCATTTCTATGTCTTTGTATGATATATGTATGGTATACATGTTTTACTTATTTGATTTTGTTTGGTGCTGTGGTTGAATTTAAGGCCTCAAGCATACCAAGCATTCTTTCTACCACTGAGTTAATGCTCACACACACACACACACACACTAACCCAATTCCTTTGTGGAATATAAGTCTTTTAGTTCCAATCTGAAAATATGTCCTGGATAAATGCCAGCTATAGCTCTCTTTGCTTCTTATTTTGGTGCGTAGAAATATACCTCAAAAGTAGTAAAGGAAGAGAATGGGGAAAAAAACACTAGCACCAATTTAAAAATATTATCACTGGCTTAATGAGATGCCTCATCTGTTAACATACTTGCTGGCAAGCTTGATAACGTGAGTAAGTTCCACATGGTGTAACTTGATGGCTAGGACCCACACAGTGGAAGGAAAGAGCCAGCTTCCACAAGTTATCCTTGACCTCTTCATGTGTCCACCCACAATAAATAAATATAATAAAAACTTACAATATAATCACTAATGTTGTGTTTGATCATGCAATGGAATACTTACTTTGAATGTGTTTGCTTTAATACTCTTGATTTTGTTGTGTTTAGCATTAAGTAAGGTAAGCTTTGGAGGAAGAACTGGAAGCCTTAGTAGTTGGTTTTCAGCAAGTGTAAGTTCTTCTAACAGAGACAGTTTTGAAAAAGTACTATCTTCTATATCTTCTATCAAATTTCCCGTAAAATCAAGTCTTCTTAAGTTAGCTTGACAGAAGTAAATACAAATAGAATGTTAAAATCTCATTGTGTGAACTGGAGAAAAGCATTTCACAGATCACTCAAGGCCCTAAGTTTCTGTTCAGAGCCCAGGATAGTATTTGCAGTTAGTAACTCAGTCAAGTTCATCTTGCAGTGTTGGTAATCTAACCTACAGCCTGGTACTGGAATTCCAGCTGTACTTTCGTGGGCTGCTGGAGATTGAACCTGGGGCTTCGTTCTACCACTGAGCTCCAGTCATAAACCCATAAGTAATGTTTTGTTGAACATTGAGTGTTTCTGTGCCTAACAATGATGCCTTTTCTTACTGTGGTCTTAGAATGTATGATTCAGAAGGAATCTTAAAGTTCATAGTATTTCTACCCTTCCCTGAATTTGTAATGCACTAACATATCAAAGGAAATTTTTGCTGCATATAATAGGGAGAAACTGTGGTTAATTGGATTTAATCATGTAATTTCAAAAATTTTTGCCAGCATGTTTTATTATAACTGTGAGTATGTTGTATTAATTTGTCTCTGCCTTCTTAACAATAACAAAGACAAAAATGTTCCCTGATTTGTTAACATGGTGCAGACTGAGATATAGAGACATGCTCATTCTTTTGTCTTTCTCTCTCTCCCCTCAGCTGGGGGTGGCGTAGCTGAGATATTTAGGATATAGTTTCTTTTCATTCATAGTAGCTGTTTTCCAAAAAGTTGCTGCAATGCTGAACTAGTGAATACAGAACCATTGCTCCTGGGAAAGTTCCAGAGGAAGGTGCTTATGGGCTTCTGCTCACTCATTTTTGACAACCAATTAATATGAACCTTGCTTTATATGTATTTTTGTTTAAAGACAATTTAATTACTCTTTGGATTCATGAACATTGGTATAACTCACACTTATGTAACATTTATCTAAACTTGTATTTCCTGCATAGGCTCATCATTGCTGCCTGCATTTAGAAATACTAGGTGGCACTTCAGCACTATACTTGTTGCTATTTCAACTAACATTTTCAATATAAAGCAAAAAAATGTGAAAAACAAAATACTAGATGCTACATTTTATGACAACTGAAAGTAGAGCATTGCCTTGTTATACCTTAGCTAAAAATACATATTTTGAATAACTCAGTTTTGTTGTTCTGTGAATTTCTGCTCATAATCATAAATGCACTGGAAATTGAACCCATGGCTTCATATGTGTTAGGCAGGTGCTCTAGCACTGAACTACACATCCAGAAAAGTGAATTTGCTAATATGGGATCTACAAAATATAGAGAGGCCCAACTGTCCTTCAGTCTGCAACTTAGACTTATTAGTGATGGCATGAATCCAATTAGGCTTAATCTCATAAATGTAGAGTTGAAAGAGCTGGGTATGTGGCACAGTTGCAGAAAGCAGTTGCCTGTTTTTGCTGGGGAAGGGGGCAAATCTTGGACTCAATTACTGCACTCCCAATAATAAAATGTAGTAAAGCCATATGATTCTTGGCTGTGGTTTTCTTCAGGAACACTTGATGACCTAGGAATCTAGAAAACTGGCAAGCAATGAGTAGTCTGGGACTGGGGCTTGGTGTTGCAGAAAAGGGAATTAGTAGCATGCTGACCACAGCACCTTAGTTCAGTGAACGCTGGTTAGGAAGCCCAAAAGCTGATTGCTAATGGTCTGGTGAAGAGTTAAACACCACTGTTTTAGAATTGATTCCGTTGAATTATGTAGAAAGTGTGGTTGCTTTTCATGGTAATGAGTACAGTTTGGGATTAGTATTTTAAAAAGTTGTTCTGCAGATACTTTCAAAGATTTTTATTTATTTATGTGTACATGTGCTTGTCTGTGTGTGGGGAAGTGCAGGTGTGAGTGCAGGTGTCTATGGAGTCCAGACAATGGTATCAGATCCCCTGGAGCTGGAGTTGCAGGTAGTTATGAGACACCTGATAGGGTTCTGGGCATCAAACTGAAAGAGCAGCAAACTCTTAAACACTGAGCCATTTCTCCAGCATCATTTCCAGATAGATTAATAGGTAGCAAGTGAAAAACACATAGAAATTTGTGCTTTTATATTTTAAACTTACGCATATCTGCAAAATCTTTGGCGGTCAGCTTTTTAATTTTGTTGAATCGTGCATAAAGATAAGCTGATTCCTTTGGCAATGGTGGTACAGCATCAATGTCAACTTCTTCACAGTAGACAGAGCCACTTAAACAGACACACAGCAGGCATGTGGGCATTTCTAAATTAGGAGACAAAGTCATAGACATAAACTAATTTGAAAATATTTGTCATCTGATGGTAAAATTATTGTTATAATGAACACTGTGATTTGAAAAGGTACTTTACAGAATCATTGGTATATCAGGAAAGATAGTTGTGGCAACCAACAACCTGTATTGTTCTTATTGTATGTGTGTGTATGCATATTACAGTAGGTTCGTGGAGCTCAGAGGACAACCTGCAAGAGACAGTTTTCTCCTTCTACCATGTGGATTGAACTTAGGTTGTCGGGCTTGGCAGCAACAAATGCCTTTACCTACTGAGCCATCTGGCTGGCCCCTGTTGTTATTTTCTGTCCTTTGCCCATGGTTATGTAATTGCTGACCTTATGGAAGACTACAGTTCCTCATTTGAATGTGAATAAAAAAGGAATCTACAGTGCAGAATTTAAGGATTGATTTAACAAGTTTGATGTGTTGGAAACATTTTTCAAATAGATGACAGTAGTTAATAGCTTTAGAAATCCCAAGTAAACCAGGCTGTGGTGGTGCACACCTTTAATCCCAGCACTTGAGAGGCAGAGGCAGGTGGATCTCTGTGAGTTTGAGGCTAGCCTGATCAACAAAGTGAGTTCCAGGATTGCCAGGGCTGCCCAGAGAAACCCTGTCATAGAAAAAAAAAAAAAATCCCAAGTGAAAGGAACAGACCCTGAACTTGAAAATCAGTCGTTGCTGGAGTGTTATGATCCTACCTCCAAGTCTCACTTGGAGTGTGTTCACTTGGGCTCCTATTCAGATGCCTAGAGTACTTCCTTGGTTGGTCTTCCCCTCTCCACTTCTCTTATCCCCCTTACTCTCCCACCCCCATTCCTTGTATCTTTTATTGTTTGAAAAGTACAGGGCTTTTTCTCTAGGGTTGACAGTAATGTGTACATGGATCTAGCTGACCCTGGACTGTAAACATGACTTAAAATAAATCTTTTCTCTCTGGTATTTGTCCTAGTGATGAAAAAGCTAGGAGTCTTTTTAATTCTAGCCATTCAGATAATATATGTTGTGTAGTATCTTAATTGTTTCAATTTGCATATTCCTAGAAATTATGTGATTTCCACAAAGTGTCTATTATATGTTTTTTCCTTTTTCTGTTAGGTTTTTTTATTATTGAATTGTAAACATATATTCTTTTTAAAGAATTTATTTATTTATTTATTTATTTATTTATTACGTATATAACATTCTGCCTCCATGTATGCTTGCAGCCCAGAAGAGGGCACCAGATCTCATTACAGATGGTTGTGAGCCACCATGTGGTTGCTGGGAATTAAACTCAGGACCTCTGGAAGAGCAGCCAGTACTCTTAACCACTGAGCCATCTCTCCAGCCCCCATAAACATATATTCTAACTATAACTTATTTCTGAGATTTACAGTTTAAGTGTTTTGCCCAGTTGTAACTTGTCTGTTTTCTTGCCAGTATATTTGAAATACAAATGTTTAAAATTTTAGTCAACAATTTATGCCACTATAGTTTATGTATTTCTGTTGTATTTAAGAAATATTTGCGAACCACTCTAATAGTCAGCTTTCTTTGCTATGACAAAATACCTGAGATAATCAAATTTAAAGGTGGAACTTTTGGGCTTGGTTTAAGAGGTTTTAGACCATGATCAGTTGGCTTCATTGACATTGGGCCATAGCATACACAATAAATAAATGTAAATCTAAAACTTGCCATCATCAGCTTCCGGGCTCCAGCCTCAGCTTGGGTTCAGGTCCTGGAGGCGGGGAAGGGGTGTCAGTGTAAGGAAAACTTGTGACCACCAAGTGGATTGCACTCCAGTGGCTTGAGCTGTCTTTATTTATACTTTATTTATACCGAGTTTTTCTTACTAGGGTTACATGAACAGCTTTATTATTGGCTCCTATTTTTGATTTTTAAGAAATACATCATATTTTAAGGAATACACCATAATCATGAAAGGGACACCATTGTCCCCCTTTATACTTCCCCAAATATACCTTTCCAACCTTTTTATAGCCTTATTCTAGACAGAGAGCTCAGCATTTTAACTAAATACCAAGCCAGACACATCCTGCTCTTGCAACACTTATGTCAGCTGACAGCTGCATGTGGTTACAGAGTTAAAAAGTAATAGACATGGACACAATGCTTTAAGAACAACAGTATTCAAACCCAAACAATTCATTCATGTCTGCAAGTTATGTTTTTATATAGTTCCCTTTTTCTACAAGAAGGTCCCATATTACAATCTCTCTGTAAAAGGCAAACTTTGACAAAACACTCTCTTTCCCATCTCATTATACCATATTCCTTCTACCAAAGTAAGCTCCTGTGTATGGGATGGGTCTATCCGTCCCCACATTTTGCATTGTATTTTTTCCTCTTGGAGCATATCAGATCCTACCAATGATTCCATGCTTGGTTTCCAGGGAACTTACTCTCAACAGTTGGCGCTATGTGAATTCCTGAGGGGTTCCCCCCCCCTTCTGTGTATGCATGCCTTACTCTACTTTCCAAAATTGTGAAACATGCATAGTTAATGTTCCAAGTATTGTTTTCTTGTATTACCTGTCTCTATTGAGTCAGAAAAGTTCCCAGGATTAGGAGTTGTATTTAGTAATTCAAGATAAGAGATTTGAGAAACATTAACCCCCTTTTGAATGTTAGGGTGAACTAATCGAGACAGAACATGATTTTCAGGGAAAATTACTTATATTACATGTGTAACTGACAAAGTAAAACTAAAAACCATCCAAAGAATTAATATAGTGAGAGAGCAAAGAGCCTGCAAGCTCCACAAATTTTGCAAATTCCTATGTTGTCCTTGCCAAGTAAGAGTCTGTTTCCACAGGTGCCTTACCCAAAGGAAACCCATATGCTGGTCCAAGACTAGACTGCATGGCTCCCAACAATGAGCTGGGACCAAACCTTAAATACATGAGCTTTTAGGAAGATGTTTAAGATTGAAAACTTAGCAGTCATTACAGTGTTATCCTTTGTTTGTTCTAGAACTTATTAAAAGAAATCTGAACATTTTGACTTTTTAAATATTCATTTTGTTGTATATGTATGGATGTTTTACTTGTATGCATGTATGTGTACCACATGTGTGCTTAGTGTCTAAAAAGTCAGAGAGGACTTCAGACCTCTCTGGGCACTGAAATTACAGACATTTGCAAGCCACTATGTGGGCACTAGCAATTGAACCTGGGTCTTGTGGAAGAGCCACTTGTGCTCTTAACCACTGAGCCATCTCTCCAGACCCTTGAGTTAACTTAAATATGATATCAGGAATAGGCAAGATTCTTTATTCTGTTGGTGCATTCAGTATGACTTTTGGAAAAGTTTACATTTTCTTCATTGAATTACCTACACACTGTCAGCAACCACTTGGCCATATGATAAAAGCTTGTTTATATATGTTGATATGTTATTTTAATCTTGTCCTTGTATTTATTTATTTGGGTGGTGCATGCCATTATATGCTTATAGAGGTCAGAGAACAACTAGGAGGAGTTTCCTTCGCTAGTATCCTCAACTTGTTAAACATGATATGTTTGATCTGGCACTATTTAGTGTTTCCACAGCTATTTTTCATTTTTCCTTAAAATATCTGTAAGTATTTTAGAATCTACTTTCCTAGCATTTTCAAAAGTTTGGTAATTTTGGTGGGGTTGTCTATATTTTCTGAATTTAGAGATTAATGATGTCTTCACGATATTGAGTCATCCTGTGAAAGACAAGCATGTCTTTCCAATTATTCAAGTCTATTTTTGCTAAAATATTTGCCATATTTTAGGATGTGTTCTGGTTTCATTTTAATTTTACTGTAGCAAGATAGGAATTGGTATTGGTGGGTTTTTTCATGGTTTCATGTGAAACCAGGTTATGTTACTTAACAAGAATAAATCAAACATAAGAACTATGAAGTATGGCTTGTAGTTTATTATTTTACAGTAATTTTCTTGTTATTTCAATTGAAACAGACATTGTAGTTATGTAGTCATGTTCTTTCTCTTTTGTATTTTTCTTGCTTGCTTGCTGCTTTTTAAAATACAATTCTTTGAATTTAGGGACTCATATAAACACTCTACCAGCACATCCCTAGCTTCTGTGAGTCTATTGAAAATAATAATTAATTGTATTATATTGGTTATAAGTCTCTTGGTTGTATTTGAAAAATAATCTTTAGTTCTTTTCTTGAATTGATATGTTTTTGAGGCAAGGCTTGAAATAAAGTCTTTGCTAGCCTGAAACTTGCTGTGTAATCAGGATGACTTAGAACTCATTGAGATCTGTCTGCCTTTGCCTCCCAAGTCCTGGGATTAATAAAGGTGTGTGTTATCATGAAAGGCTTTTGAATTGATTTTTTGTGGGGGCAGAAACATGTTATCTAAAGGATAAGTTTAGACAAAGTACTGGATGTTCTTGAATGTTCTAGTCCACAGTTTTCACTCATAGTATAAAATGGTAGATGATGAGCACTTTCCATATAACTATAATGACTTTAGCATTGAAGATGAAAATTTCAGTTTATATATCTTGAGACAACTTTTGATTACCTCATGGAATAAAATTTCTTTGTAAGTATTTTTAAGAGACACTTTTCTAAAATACTAAATGATTGATTGTTCATACTTACCATCATTTTCTTTCTTGGTGGATAATGATGGTACAGCCTCATCTTTTTGTAACTGAAGACTTTTCTCATCAGGAATTATCACAGTCTCCTTTTCCTATTATACAGTTAGAAGTTTGTTATCAGGTATAATAAGACAAGAGTCTGACTGTAAACTAGAAGGATCACAAATATTTTTCATAGTCATAGTTAGAGGTATTTCATCAAGATTTTGTTTTATGTATATATTGTGTATATATAAGTATGTGTATATATGGGTTTTTTTTTATGTGTGTGTGTGTGTGATACATATTTAACAAAGAACAACTTGTAGAAGTCAGTTCTGTCCACCATGTGAGCCAGGGGTTCTCTGGCTGAAAGAGACTTTACTATGTGCCAAACTATCTCAGCACTATGTTGAGATTTTATACATAATTTCATTTCATTATTCATTAAATTATGATGTAAATACTTGAGGTAGGATATGCATTCCTGAGTAAAAGAATCAGCCTTTTAAAAAATTGTTTCCATTGGCTGAACTCAGTATTTGATAAATATTTAATATATTGAATTTCTAAATGTTAGCTTAGGAATGAAAGTTGTTCTAATGTGGAACTATTCCTTATAGTTCTTTATGTGAACTAATTTCCTCTTGTCAATGTCTGTCCTTCTGAGCAGTACGCTGTGGATTGTAAAGTACCGAGTAATGTCTTTCATGACCTGGATGCCTTCCTGCCTTGGCCTTAGGATGGGTCCTGTTATTCTAGCCTCTTCACCTGATCAAGCCACTGGCTTAGGCTTGTTAACACTGTAACTGCAGGCTGTCATTTCACCCCTGTCCTCTTTTCAGAGAATGTGTTTTCTGCCAGTAGACTATAATTTATTGTATGGGGAACCGTTTACTCTACCTCCCCCACCCCTTGCTCTGTGTTAACTCAGTAGACTCCTGACCTTGCCCTTAGCCCCCATTTTCCCATCTGTGTGCTGTCTGAACATCACTCTTCCCATTGAGATCTCCACCTCACACAAATATTGGTCCACACATTATATTGATGGAAAACTGCTTAAAGCTCCATGTAGTTAAGCAGAAAGCATTAAGGTTCAAGGAATTTTGAAAGTATTCTACAGTTGGTTGATAGACTCAGATCATTCCAGTAAGAAAATAGACTATAAACTTTTTTGTTTGATTTTTAATTTGAAGCTGTTGCTAGAGATACCTGTCTATTTTGTCTTAATCATAGGTAGAAATAATACCAGCATCTTAACTCATTCCTTTAGAAAAAAGAAACTGTGGCCTTAACATTTGCTTATTCTGAGTTAAAAGGGGAAAAAGCGTTTGGACTGGTTAGTCTTAAAATCTTCGCTATCTGATTTGCAATAAAAAGAACTTTTAAAGTAATGAATATTATTATGTATCTGACTCTAATTTTCCAGTGTATGTGTGCATCACACACAGTGGGCAGCATATAGTTTTATGCTATATTAACTTTCTCTTCCCCCAGTACTTCTTTATGCCCCCCCCCCCCAAAAAAAAAAGTAACAGCTTTGCTCTGAAGGTTTGATGTGAGTGATTATGGTATAAAAGCCAGAACTCAGGAACATGTCATTACAGATCTTTGATATAAATTGGTAGAGTGATTAAATGTGATGAAAAATGAATTCCCGGCCGACCTGACCTCTGCTGAGGAGCCCTCATCCAGTGGCTGATGGAAGCAGAACCAGACACCCACAGCTATACACTGAACTGAACTCTGGAACCCAGTTGCAGAGAGGGAGGAATGAAGATCAAAGGGGTCGGGACCAGGCTGGTGAATCCCACAGAAACAGCTGGCCTGAACAAGGGGGAGCTCATGGACCACAGACTACTGTCTGGGAGGCCAGCACAGGACTGATCCAGACCCCTGAACATGGATGTCAATGAGTAGACCTCGGCACTCTATGGGGCCTCTTGTAGGGGATTAGTATTTTTCCCTGGTGTAAGAAGGGACTTTGAGAGCCCATCCCACGTGAAGGGATGCTCTCTCGGCTTGAACACATGAGGGAGGGCCTAGGCCTGGCCCAGGATGATGTTGTAGAATTGGGGGAGCCCCCATGGAGGGCTCTACCCTGCCTGGGGAGCAGGGGGGAGGGGACTAGTGAGGAGTTGTGGGGGGAGAAGAGGGAGAGGGAGAAGGGATTGACATGTGAAGCAAGCTTGTTCCTAATTTGAACTAATAAAATTTTTTTTAAAAAATGAATCCCCATAATAAGTAGTTTTTCATTTGTTGGTACTCTGTGTAATTGGCATGCATAACCAGTAAGTATTCTTGTATTTTCTTCCTTGGACTGTATTTTTCTGAGTTCTATAACCATAAGCTGATAATTTATCTTCTCTTAATTTATCTTTGAGGCACTATAACATACAACTATAGGATATTACGTAGCATTTTTTAACATAAATTACAGCTATCAGAGATTATCTTGAAGTCTAATGTCTTTAAGTTTAATTTCTCTAGGTACTTTTTGTTTACCATTTGGTACTACTTATTAGTTCAGGAATCATGCATATTTGAAAAATATAATTACATTAAATCTTAAAATGACTTTCCCCTCCTTACCTTATCAAACATTGAAATTAAGAGAAAAACATGCATTTAAATGGGTATCGTTTTAGTATATAAATTTAAAGTAGAAATAAAATACCTTCATATTTTTTCCATGCAGGTATTTATCTTCATAGTCCTGGCTAAATTTGGCTTCTTCAAAATTATCTATTCCATACTCATAGTTAATGTGTGAGTCCATCAGAGTTTGTGGTGCTGGCTGTGTCAGAGGCAGGAACAGTAGCAGGAGAAGTGTAGAACGCACAGTCTTCATTTCAGCAAACGCAAGGTGACTGGAAGTTTGTAAACTAGTGACCTGATGACTGTGGAACAAACTCTTTCTCCCCTGGAAATAGGAATGCAGACTATCGAAGCAATATTTAAAGCTTGGAGGATATTTTGGCACACTGTATGCAGTAAGGGCCAGAGAACAACTATTTAACCCTTAGTGGTCCTCAATTAGATACTAACAGTTTTTTATGTACCAGTGAAGATTCTGAAAAATTCAGAAAGTGGTTTTATTTCTTAACCTATGAAAAATTTAAGAACTGTTGCTAAGTTTACTAACAATTGGATGCCTCCAATAGGAGTACATGTGTGCAATCAAAGTCTTCTTGGGATACCTGCAGTATAAATGGTTAATACAAAGATCCATGATCCTGTGTCATGTGGACTTAAGAATATCATATTTCAATGTTGCAGCTTTAAAGGAACTCTTGATTCATATGGATGTAAAAAAAAAAAAGCAGTTCTTAGAAAAGGATTAAAACAAACCTTAAGTTTAACTTCATAAAAAGTAGGCAATAGCACTTTTAAGTGATGTATAATATAGGAAAAAACATATAATTTCTCTAGTTTTATAGATTTAACAGGTTATCACTAGTTTTAGTAAATAATCTTGCCTTTTTTTTATAATCTTGCCTTTTTAAGCTTAAACTATGAAAAGTACAACAATACCACTGCAGACTAGGGTAATTTAAAACTTTAAGGGAGGAACTTTGGAGAATGTACTGGAAAGATTTTTTTTGAGGCTCACCAGTGAATTTTAACTGCTGAGTACACGTTTCAGACAATTTAAAAACTACAGTCAGAATCACTTAGAGATGCTGATGCTGCGGTAGAGATGCCAGTTTTGTCAAATATCCAGTGGTTAAATTTCAAAATAAAATGGGTTTGTAACTTTTTCTGCTTCCAGTTCTTATCTATATCCATGTTAAAGTTATAAAATGATATATGAAAGTATCGTTGAAAATTAATTGTTCAGAGAAAATGAAACTTACACTACAGATGACTTTACATTTGTTAAGAGTTTCAGAATCACTCTTTAACAGGCAGTATTTAGATTACTATGTGAAAAACAATCCTACCGTAGTCACTGGTTGAAGTCCTGTGTGGTTTTCCTCAATAGGTGCTCATGCCCTGTGCATTAGTCCCACGTGGGAGGGTGAAGGAGCAAAGCTGGGGAATGGTTCCAAACTGCTGAATAAAGTTTCAGGGCCCAGCAACTTAAGTTCCATGTGGTGGAATTCAACAGCAGATTCCATGTGGTGGGTGTCTTTGCCAGCATTCCTTCTCCGGGGTGAAATGCAGGGTGTTACAAAGGACATTGTTCTGAAGATGTTGGAACCGCGGCACCAGAGTAGCTGCAACACACTGGAGTCTGGATCTCTTTTACCTTGTATATTAAGCACTAATCTTTTAATGAATATTAGTTTATAAAAAGGACATATTCTTTAAATCATGTTCTTATTTTTGTGCTTTTATTTTATTTTTGTGCTTTTCTGGTATATAAAACACTACTTTTTCTTTTTGAATGAAATACCAAACCAAACATAGTCTTCATTGTTAATTTAATGATAATTAAGAATTTTGTTCCCACACTATAACTAGTACATTAGAAATTTAATGTAAAGTTTGTTTTAACCCATATTAGTTTGAAGTTTTAGGCTTTAGTTTTTAATTCTTTTATTTTAGTTCATAAGAGTGGGTAAATAGCCAGGCATAGTGGCATACACCTTTACTACCAACAGCATTTGAGAGGCAGGCAGCTGGGTATTTGTGAGTCTACAAAGTTAGTAGTACCCTGTGTTCTGTACTGAGTTCCACAGTCCAGGACATCCAGAGTTACATAGTGAGACCCTTCTTGAAAACAAACAAACAAAAGAAGAGTGTGAAACAGTTTTTAAAAAGAAGTTTGATTTTATAATTTTGTAATAGCAAAAATATTTACTTTATATTAAGTTTGATTCTGAAAAACTAAACTAGGGGCTGAGTGTTGTAACACAATTAACTGCACTGCTCTCCTCCAACTGCAATCCTAGACCTGCCTCTCCTCAACGTGGCTGGAGACTAAATCTCCTTTTATACCTCTCAAGTCCTAGGATTAAAAGCGTGTGATTCCCAAGTGCTGAGATCACCTTTGTGTGAGCTGTTTCTCTTTAGGACTGGATAGTTCATGTATTTCAGTATGGCCTTGAATTAACAGAGATCCATCTGCTTGTCTCTTGAGTCCTGAGATTAAAGGTGTGTGCTACCACCGCCTGGCTCTTTGGCTAGCTACAATGGATGCTGGGATTAAAGGTGTGTGTCTCTATTGCCTGGCTCTGTGGCCTATAGCTAGCTTTGCTGTCTGTACCCTCAGGCAAGCTTTAATAAACCATAAATAATCTATCACTAGAGAGTGTAGTGGTGCACACCTTTAATTCCAGCACTTGGAAAGGCAGAGGCAGGAGGATCTCTGTGAGTCTGTTCTACACTGCAAGTTCCAGGCCAGCCAGAGCTACATAATGAGACTGTGTCTTAAAAAAATAAAAATATAAAGCAGTCGTGTAGATACCATGTAACATTCTTTAAAGACTCACCGTTAAAAATACTTACTTTTGCTGGGCACATACCTGTAATCTCAACGCTTGAGAATCAGAGACACAAGGAAGCAGGGGTAGTTCAGGGCTATCCTGGATTGCATAGCAAGTAATATTGTCTAAAATATTACTTTTATTTTTTATTATTCTTTGGTGCTTTTAGTAGTCAGAGTCGCAATTTTTTTTTCCAAAAGCAAAATGTGGGTAAATATTTAAAATAGAGCATGAGGGCTGGAGACATGCCTCAATAGTTTAGAGCACTTACTGTTCTTGCAGAAGAGCTGGGTTAAATTCTCTAAAAGGAATAAGAATTCACTGGGAAAAAAAATCCAACCAATGGTTATGTCTTACTCAGGGCAGAGCGCCTCATAAAAACCAGGCATGGAGATGCTGGAACAGAGTCTAGGGTGTATCTGTGGTTGAACTTACTCCTCAGTTAACTAGTTCTGCATAACCTAAACCCCCTCCCCTAAGTTATATGAATGGTCTTTCTGGCCAGATTAACCTACCCCTAAAACTGTTGTATGTGGTCAGTCCCATCCAAAACAAAGACAGAACTTTCAAGAATGACAATCACTTCTAGGGAGGTAAAGCCAAGTTGAACCTCTCTATAGGGAAAGCCAAATCCTTCCATACATTTCCCTATAGAACTGTTTGAAACTGAGGTTGTTTCCATTTCGGAAAGAAATCTTACATTCTGGTAGAAAATTCACTATTAAACATGAAAGTTGCCAAATGCTTTACATTAGACATTCTGTCCACTAAGAATTTACTACTCTAGAACATTCATTTAGGTAACTGCTGTATTACCCTTGGTGCCTTATAGGGGTTATATTTCTTCAAGGGTGCTTCATTAGTCTGTGCTTCTTCCTCCTAATTGTTTCTCAGAAGTAAGCAATTAAAAATGTGTTGAGTGGAGCTGAATTTTCAGGTTATCATGTAGTTCCGTTCGTAGAGTACTTACCTAAAAATAATCAAGTTCCATTGCCAGCCGTGCATAAAACAGGTATAGTGGCACCAATCTGTAACGCTAGCACTTGTGAGATAGACACAAAAGGATTGGGAGTTCAGGGTCATCCACAGCTAAATGGTGAGTTCTAAGCAAGCTGAACTATTTGAGACCCTGCTTTTAAAAACAGATGCCAGGTATACTGTGTGTGTGTGTCCGTGTGTGTGTGTGTCCGTGTCCGTGTCCGTGTCCGTGTGTCCGTGTCCGTGTCCGTGTGTGTGTGTGTGTGTGTGTGTGGTGGGGGGGTGTTTTGGCCAGGTATACTGTGTGCATGCACGTGTGTGTTTGTGTGTTGTTGTTTTGGCTAAGGCAGGCAGATCTCTGTAAATTTCAGGTCAGCCTGATCTACTTAGTGTGTTCTAGGCCAGCTAGGACTACATAGTGAGAACTTATCTAAAAAACAAACAAAAACCTGGGGGGGAGAAAAAGATAAAAAATTGAGTCTAAGAAGCAAGGGTTTTCTGGGAAGAGAGAAGGTGGAGGGGAGAGAGAGAGAGAGAGAGAGAGAGAGAGAGAGAGCAACAAACTATAAACTATCCATTGGGTTGATATTTTTTCCATCATCAACATCATCTGACTGCATAGGTAAACTGATTTAGAGTCAGAATACTTGTCTGAATTCTAAGTTTGATTCTCTTAGTATTTATTGCCTCACTTGATCTCGGGGAAGTTCTTTAGTTTCTTTGGTGCTCAGTTTTCCTCCCTCCCTCCCTCCCTTCCTTTTTGTAATGGGTATTTTAACTACATGTGTGTCTGTGTATTACCCACATGCTTGATACCTAAGGAGGCTGGAACTAGAGTGGCGGGGGGGGGGCTTGGAGTTGAACATGAATCACCTAGAAGAGTAGCAAGTGCTTTAACCACCCACCCACCTCTCCAGCCCCAAGGAGGTTCAATTCCTTGGCCAGAGCCTGTCTTTAATCCCAGCACTTGGAAGGCAAAACCAGACAGGCTTTTTTGTTTTGTTTTGTTTTGTTTTATTTCTAGGCTACCCAAGGCTACACAACAAGAGCTTGTTTCTAGAATAAAAAAACAAAAATAAAAGACTTAAGCTGGGATAAAGACTTAATCCCAGCACTCGGGAGGCAGAAGCAGGCGAATCTCTCTGAGTTCGAGGCCAACCTGGTCTCCAGGATAGGCTCCAAAGCTACACAGAGAAACCTTGTCTCGAAAAAACAAAAATAAAATAAAATAAAAGCCTTAAGAAAACGAAAAGCTAACCATCACCTAATTACGCACTATGGCTATTAGATGGGTGAGCAAACTTTTGGCATCTGGAGAGATGGCTCAGCAATTAAGAGCACTCGCTGCTCTTCCAGAGGAGATCACAGTCACCTGTAACTCCAGTTCCTGGGGTTCCAATTCCCTCTTCTGACTGCCTCAGGCACCTCACCTGCACATATCTAGCAGATACTTGGAAATTTTCTCACAAATGTAAACAAAAGTAATTATTTTTAAAAACCATGAGAACTACTGAGTTACTAGATACTTAATTAAAATCCAACATTGTGAGACCTTATAGCAAGCATATTGTCTTAAATCTCATGTATTTACATGAACATAGATCTTTTGTTCACATGAAAGAGATGAGAGTGTAAGTACCTTACAGACTTCCCCTTACAAAAAGGGGAAGGAGGCTATGATGCCGTGTGAGGACAAATAAATGCTTTTTTAAAATGGTATTTTGTCTTTGAATATAATTTTTTTCTTTTAGTGTCTAAATGTCAGTATAATGTATTCACAACCTGAACACTTACAGTGATGAAAGATGTGTGCATGGCATCCTGCTACTTTACTTATACCAGTGTCTACTGTACTAAATGCAGTTACTTAAACTGGGCATGGGATTCTTTATAGGAAATTGGAACATATAAGAAACTTGGGGCTTTAGATGTTATGATCTAATTTTGTTTCCAGCTGCTCTTTTACTTTAGTTCCAAGATTTAGAGAGGAAAATGTGTTTTGAATCAGGAAAACGGGATTTTCGTTCCAGTCATCATCCTTGGGGACAGAAGAATTCTTTATAACACAAACAGTCTATGGAAGAGACTAGATTTTTTTTTTTTCGGTATGTTTAGTTTCTTTTCTGCTTTCTTCCCTCCTGGAGCTAGTTAAATGTGTTATGTAATATGCATGCATCTGTATTTTAACTTAGTAATCCCTAAGTTGAATAAGTTAAAAATCTGTGCTTCAGGTGATTCTTACACACAGGCTAGATGTTTTCAAACAGTACTGTTGTTAGCTGTTTGTTTTTTTTTTTTTTTTCCTGAAGGATCCTTTATTTTTATTTCCTTTCTAAAATTTAACTGTATTTATTTTTGTTGACTAATCTTTGATTTTTGATATGATGTGTGTTAGATTTTTGTTTAAATTAAAGATGAAGAAGAGGAGGAAGATGAGACATAAGACTAAGAGACATCTTAGACATATTAACCAGATTATTATAGGCCCGGCAGAGTAGGGAGACTAAAGAAGAAGAGAAACAGGGTAAATGGCTAACCGCCATGGCTGATTGCCAGAGAGAGAGAGAGAGAGAGAGAGAGAGAGAGAGAGAGAGAGAGAGGAGAAACAGAAACAGGCGACAAGAGAAGTGTAGAGAATGTAAAGAGAGCGTAAATGGGCAGCGATCTGTCTTTTAAAGGGGTCCTTTGCACCTGCATGCGGACTTAGTTCCCCTGGAACCCTGGGCTGACCAGGGTACTGCCTGAACCTTTCAATGTGCATGTTCTGTTAGTCCTAACAAGCAGTTTAGCCCTTTTCCTAATACAACCAAATACTATCCAGTGTGAGGAGTAGAGGCTCATGGTTTTCCTTCCTGTTATAATTACCAAGTCAATTGATTCTCTGTGTCTGATATAGGTAACTGCCGTGCTGTAGGAGGTAAAGAGAATACTTCATTCTTCAGTTTCTTTGAGGAAAAGCATAGAGTTTTTTATTTGCTTTATGTTTACTGAGAAATCCTTGGTTTGGTTTGTGTTCACTGTGGCATTTCTAAATAATACTAAAAAGATTGTAGACCTACATCCTCTGGGTTTTGAGCAGGAGGGATTTTGTGGTAGTTTATTTATCTTTGGAGAGATTTTTTTTATTAAGCGTAATTTGTTAACTTAAAAAGAAATGAAGAAACAATCTCTAGATGTGACAAAATTGAGAGTTTTTACTTTTTGTGCAAGAATTCAAATAATTACTACTTCTTTACATTAATCTATGATGGTTCTCCTTCTGGGAGTATTCCCACATTGCAGTATCACCTCTTCCTGAAGTTTCAGCTGGTCCAGGCCAGAAATTAGTTATGGTGTCCATTGTCACCTGGTTTATCATTTCTGCCTTGTTACCATTTTGTTTGTTTATACCTTGTGTTAGAATAAGTTGTGGGATTTTTCTTTTAAATGCCTCCTTTGTTGTGCTAATTCCCATTCAATGCAATTCCCCCTCTGTAAGTATACAAACTCAACCATTTTAATATTTTCAGGTTCTATGTAATCAGCATCAGAATAATTTTAGAAAATTTTATTACTTGTAAAGAAAACCCTGTCAGAGCTAGAGAGGTGATTCAGAGGTTAAGAGCACTGATTGCTCTTCCAGAGGTTCTGAGTTCAATTCCCCAGTGCCCACATGGTGGCTCACAACCATCTACATGTATACATAATAAATGAAACTTAAGCCAGGCGTTGGTGGCACATGCCTTTAATCCCAGAACTGGGGAGGCAGAGGCAGGCGGATCTCTGTGAGTTCAAGGCCAGCCTGGTCTACAGAGCGAGTTCCAGGACAATCTCCAAAGCAATACAGAGAAACCCTGGCTTGAAAAACAAAAACAAACAAACAAACAAAAAACCTTAAAGAAAAGGAAACCCTGTCATCAGTTCTTTTTTGAGACAGAGTCTAGCCCATGCAAGTCTCAAACCTGCTGTATATAGGAGCATCTCTTTGAACTCCTCATCTTCCTGCGTCCACCCTCCACACTCAAGTGCTGGGAGTGCATAGCTTTGTACACCATACCCAGCTACTGGGTTCCTCTTTTGGACTCATGGATAATGTTGCTATGATGGTCCTGAGCACACTTTGCTGTGAACCTGTGTTCGGGTCTCTTGGGCAGATGCCTGGAAGTAGAAATGTTGATGAAACCTAACTGGAGCTTTCCAAATAACTGCATTGTTGTCTGTCAGCTGTATGTGAGGGTACTGATCTTTCTCCTCATCAGTATTTGTTATTTGCCTGTCTTTTGATTGCTGCCACTGTAATGAGAAAAAGGTAATGTTTTAAGTGTGGTTTTGATTTGTATTTCCTTAGTGGCTCTTTTTAAATTTTAAAATGATGGAAGTTAGAAAAAGTGTCTGATCTTGCTTATCTCTTAACACTCACAGTTTATTTTCATTCATAATAAATAATTGCATTTATAATCCCATTTTGAAACATTTCAGTAGAACCAACTGGACCTTAGGCCTGTGTCACGGGGATGCCTACCCAATACCACTAGTATTTGACTCTTGGGTTTCACTCTTCTTGTGTCACGGTTGCTTTTTGTACTCTTTTCCCTGATCTCTCACTACTGTGCGTTCTACAGCAAGTAACTTGATGTGGGTGGTTAAATGAATGGATGGAGTTTTGTTTGTGTTCACTATGCATTGTCAGCTTTGCACTGTGGACAGGTGGAGTATTCTCTTCTGTTAATGCTAACAACCTACTCAAAGATTAAAAAAACAATAGAGGCTTCTCAGCACTTAGAAGTTTGAATACTTCCAAATTACAGTGTACGAATCTGTTAATTACCCATTGTCTGAATTTTTATCATTTGTTTTTGGATTATTTGTGTTGGCATTCATTTGTTACTTTTTATCAGGAGTTCTGTGAATCATTAATGTATGGTAAATAAGGGAGCTAATCACAATACTTAGAATATTCATCATAAAACATACTTAAAATACTTCTAAGTGGACTAGAGAATACAACTGACTTTTAAGATATTAGATGTCATGTTGGAGCCTGTGTGTCCCATCAAATTTCAAAGGAACTATAGTCAACTTTAGCAGCATGTAAATAAATACTGGCTAGTATAAATATATGCTTATAGTGTATTTGATGCCATCAGAGAAGGTTAACAATGTGAAAAAATTCTATTTTGTCAGCATTAATATAACCTGTGAATAAAGCAATTTTAGCAAGTCTTTATGTAACTACTTGAGGCCTTTCTCCAGTTTACTTTAAAATATTAATCCAGTTGGAAATGGAACATGATATAGAGTATTTTGAATAGTTGCTGAAATCTCCTAAAACATAGACTGTACTGAGAGAATTTTTTAAAAATTATCCAGATCAGCAGATACAGAATTGATAATTCAGTTGCTCTTGTACTCTGAAAAAAGAACACTCAATCTCCTGAATTGTATGCCTTAGATCTTAGGATGGTGACTTTGAAAATCAAAAATATCATTTTGAGCACTGAACTTGGTACTCATATTTTAGTGGGATTAGAAATACAAGTGTGCTCCAAAAAAAGGAAAGAAAGAAAAAGAAAGAAATAATAAACCAGCCAGAGGTGGTACACCCCTTTAATCCTAGCATTCAGGAGGTAGAAGCAGACAGATCTTTGTGAGTTCTAGAACAGCCAGGGCTACACAGAGAAACCCTGTTTCAAAAAAAAAATCAAAGGGGGCGGGGGAGAATTACAAATGTGGAAACAACTCTGTAGAAAAAGTCAATAAAAGTGATCTCTTTTAATAGGTTAATATCTTTCCTCTTACTCAGGTATCCTTTTGGGTCTAGAGGGTAGCTTCTGTCTTCACTATTAATGTTACTTATTTTTTCATCCCTAGAAAAGAAATCCCATCATTGAAAGTGGCATACATAGAGGGATGATGATGATGATTGTTGTTGTTGTTGTTGTTGTTATTATTATTGTTATTATTATTATTGTTATTGGGGGCATGCACACATGTGGTCACAGGAAATTTTGACAACTTGCAGGAGTTGGATGTCTCCTACTGAAGTCATCAGGCTTGGCAGCAAATGCTTTATCTGCTGAGCCACTTTGCTGGTTCTTACTTGCTTTTTACATGATAATATTTCTAAGTTTAAAGAATGAGTTTAAAGAACAAAGCCATTTGAGCTTTTTATTCCCACTTGCCATTCTAATATTTCATAAGATTTGCATCATTTTTAAGTAAGCTCTAAGCCTATGTGATAAAGCCATTGTCACCAACATCTTAAATGCAATTCTGATCTTACACTAATACATATTTCTAGATACATTATTTTGAGCAGTATATGTTTAGATTTGTAATTAGCATGACTTAATGAAGTCATAAACATATCTCTATGTAGTTTCTTGACATTCTTGCACTTAATAATAATGAGAATTAAAGTACTCTTCTGTTACTTCTTGACCCTCAAGAGTATCATCCTGACCATCATGGTTTTCCTCCTCCTCCTCCTCATCATCATCATCTTGATATCTCCTGAAAACTTGGGTCTTCAGTTGTATTGTTTCCCCATTAGTGCTCCTTTGTTCGCCATAATAAATACTGTGTATATGAGGGAAGCAGAAGAAGATGTATGAACTTATTGGTTCTTTCAGCTTATTTTGGTCCACACGGAGGTATGTTAAATGGCGATGGTGTAGTAGGTCAGTAGAAGGACACATCATTGTCACATTGATGTCTGAAAAATACAAATTAAAAATTCATCCTGCATATGATATCATAATTCCATGTTGGTTTTGTTACATAAGATATAATTTTATCATAATACTTGCAAGTAGAGTCAGGCTTAATAATTTTTATATTAATTAAAAATGAAGTGAAACTCTTAAGTTTCTTATCACCAAAATAAATATTAATTAATTGGTTTTATTTACTATATAAGCAATATATAATTGCTTCTTAGTAGAAGCAATCTTAGAAAGAAGCAAAGCAAAAAAAAAAAAATACACAACCCTACTATTCAGGGTCATATTCTTCAGATGCTCTCTAATACTGCTTGCTAATATTCAAGGTAGTAAAGTTGAGTAGAATAAAAAACTATAAAATTAATGGCATTCTCTTTCCCCAGGCCACTATCTGCCATCTCCTTAGCTGACTTCAAAGCAACCCTTTCAGCACTATGTAAAGCATAGATGATTAATAACTCTTTTCTTTGTTTTGTTTTGTGTTTTCCAGACAGGGTTTCACTGTGTAGCTCTGGCTATCCTGGAACTCTCCTTGTAGACTGGGCCGGCCTTGAACTTATAGCAATCTGCCTGCCTCTGCCTTCCAAGTGCTGGGATTAAAGGTATGCATTACCACTGTCTAGCTAATAACTCATTCTTTATAAATAGAATCAAAATATGATTCCTCAGGCATGTTGTGCGTGTACCTTTAATCTCAGCATGCGGGAGGCAAGGGCAGGTGAATAATCTGAGTTTGAGGACAAACTTAGTCTACATAGGAAGTTCCAGGGCGGCCAGAGACACATAGAGAAACCCTGTCTCAACATTACAAGACCTCCCCCAACAAAAAACAAGTCAAAAAAGAGTCTTTTGTTCTTTAAAAAGTGAAAAATTGCCGGGCGTTGGTGGCCCACACCTTTAAATCGCAGCACTCTGGAGGCAGAGGCAGGCAGATCTCTGTGAGTTCAAGGCCAGCCTGGTCTACAGAGCTAGTGCCAGGATAGGCTCCAAAGCTACACAGAGCAACTCTGTCTCAAAAAAAAAAAAAAAAAAAGAGTGAAAAATTTTGCATACTTTCTATTTCATTATTTTGTAGATATAGATGTTCCAAATTCCTTGGAATGTAGAATGCTTGCTTCAATTTATTGTGTCCAACGTTTAGTTCTATAAGGTTGGAAAGATTAAATATATCATATGGAATGTCTCTCAGTTTGTTGTGTGACATTCTTAGAGCATGAAGTTTTGGAAGTTTGTCAAAATAATTGTCTGGTATAGATGAAATTGAATTATTTTCTAAAGATAGATACATAAGTGAAGAAGGCAATCCAGGGGGCATTGATTCTAATTGATTATTACATAGATTGAGCTGCATTAATTTTTCCATTTTGGAAAGGTTCTTTTCTTTTAACATTGAATCAGAAAGATGATTATAGCAGAGATCAAGCATAGTCAGGTTGGCCAGCCCATCCATGGCATTTGTTTGAAGTGTGGAGATTTCGTTATAGCCAAGAAGGAGTCTTTCCAGAGATTTAGGAAGAGGAAATGGAAATTCTTCTAAGTTGTTGTGCTCTAGATGAAGTTGTTGTAGATTTGAAAGTTTAGCAAACACACCATGGTCAATCTTTTGAGATTTAATTTTGTTGTGACTGAGGTTTATTTCTTTAAGATGAGTTGCATTGATGAATGAATTTGCAGTGACAGCCTCAATATCATTGAACTGAAGGTAGAGCTGCTGAATGTGCGTTGGAATATGTGGGATAGTCTTGAGTTTACGGCTGTCACAGTACATTGATGTTGGAAAGTTAGTTGGACAGAAGCATTCCTTAGCACAGCCTAACATATTCTGATAAAAGGGCACTCCATATTCAATATTTTGATGAAATTGGAATTCTGGCTCATAATCCTCATTTGGCTCTTCTTGGTCATATTCTTCATCCCATTGGTAAGCTTCATATTGGCAATATATTCTAACTCCAAAACAGAAGAAAAGGACATATGTTGGACTTAAAAAGCCCATGTTCTTTTTTTTTTTTTGTCCTATTGCAAAGGGAAAAGTGGTTAATACTCAGAATAATTCTCATATAAATTGACACATATAAGATTTATTATACTGGTGCCTATATATAACAGAATATTTAGGAAGTATGAGCAAAGCTCAAATTAAAATTTAATGTTTAAGTACCTCGGAAGTAAATTTTAGAATCACATGTTGCATTGAACAGGAGTTAGAAATGTGCTGTTCTGGACTTTTTACAATTAGTCACTGTCTTTTATTTGTTTGCTTTTGCTTTTTATAGGTAAGATTACTTTTGTAGCCCTTACTGGCTAGAATTTACTATGAAAAGTAAACCGGCCCTGAATTACAGGCAGTCCCTTTGCCTCTGCCTCCCACGTGTTGAGATTACATGTCTAAAGCATGACACTCTATACAATCATTATCTTCTAAAAGAATCTCAGTTGTCTTGTTTTCTAGACTGTAGATTTTTAATGGCAGTGTGACATCACCCAACCACATTCCTGTCACTGTAAATGCTGGGCAGTCTTGCCCACTGTTCTGCCTATTAGTGATGGTTGCTACCTCTGTGAACAGTTAAAGAACTTGACCTACTAACAATTTTTATTAAACCAAAATCTTGTTCTCTACTACTTCTGTTACTGAAATCTTTTCCTTGTCCTTTAAAAGAACATTCTTTTTTATGTGGTAACTTACTTAGAAAGTTTTGATTTCCATAGATTAATGTTTTCATGTTTTTTTCCTGACTCCCATTTTTTCACTAAATATCTCCCTCCCTCCTTCCCTCCCTCCATCTCCCTCCCTTCTTCTCTTCCTCTGTCCCTCTTTCCCTCTTCCTTCCTCCTTCCCTTCCTTCCTTCCTTCCTTCCTTCCTTTCTTCCTTCCTCCATCCTGAGACAGGGTCTTATAGAGCCCAGGTTGGCCTCAAGCTTGCTATTTTAGTGAGGCTGGCCTTGAACTTATGATTCCCTTGTCTCTCCTTCTCTGGTCCTGAGATTACAAGGAGCATTACCATATCTGGCTTTCAATAATACTTTTGAGTTAAGATCTGGATTGTGCAGATATTAAAATGACACTATAGAGCATTTTAAAGGTGTTATATTGAATTGGATTGTAAAGGGACGACTTCACAGATAAGGAACAGTTATTTCTGATGAAACTTGAAGAATGATGGAGTATGTTCTAAACAAGGAGTCTGTATTTCATTTCTGTCATTTAACAGTTCCGCCTCTTGCTTTATTAATAAAATAAGAATTGTAATTGCTGGTTATGTGCACATGCCTATAATCTCACCTGCTCAGGGGCCAGGTCATTTGAGTTGGAGACCAATTTAGTAATACAGTAAGACACCTTCTCAAAAAGAATAAAGTGAAATTTGTAATTATAGTTAAATTATACATTGCTTCATGTGCTTGTGTGTGTGTACATGTAAAATCAAGAAGACAAGGCCAGGTGTCATTCATCTAGTGTCATCTACCTTTTAATTTTCTTAAGACAAGAGTCTCTTATTATGTAGGCTGGTTGGCTGGCCAGTGAGTGACAGGGACTTCCCATCTCTGCTTCCCAGGTACTAAGAGTATAAGTGTGGTCACCACACTTGGTTTTGTTTTGTTTTTAACATGGTGTTCTAGGGAACCAACTCAAAGCCCAGGTCTTCCTGCTTGCAATGTACGTAATGATTTTGCTGACAGGGCTATCTCCCCAGCCCCATGTCTTTCCTGCTTATGTTGTGTGTTGTCTTAGTCTTTTTTTTTTTTTTTTTTTTTATTTCTAGTTGGGGAACAAGCTTTTTTCACTCCGTTTCCCCCTCTCCCCCCCCTCCCCCCCCATGTCTCAGTCTTAACTGCTTATGTTACCTAGAAGATAAACTCTCACTTTTTTTTTTTTTTTTTTTTTTTTTTTTTTTTTTTTTTTTTCACTAAAATAATCTCCAACTCCTACAGTTCAAGTAATCTTTACTGCCTCAGTCTCCTGAGTTAGGATCCCATGAGATCAAGTAAAAGTTCTTGGCAAATTGAAGATTGCTGACCAGTTGAAATGAGCATTATTTAGGAAAAATGTTAAAGGAAAAAAAAAATGTATCTTTTCTCCCTGAGACCTTTTCTCTCCAGCCTTTTCTCATCAGGGGTTTTATAAATGAATGAGTGAACAAATGCCCTAACATCACTGTGTGACAATGAAATCATTTACATTTATTCCTCTAGAATGATACCTCCTGTTTTACAGTATTGATATAACTGAGAAAATAGTTACATCAATCATTTTTCTGACAGAGCTCCACCTGCTCCTTTCCCCCCATGATTTGTCTCAGCTCTTCCTATGAACTCATGTCCCGAGCCTGCTAAATTACCAGTGGTCATAGTCTCAATTTTGAACATCCTACACTTTGACCATATCTTCAAGTAGTACCTTCAACTACAAATAGTTCCTGGGTTTCATTGAGTCTAATGTATGTTGATGGTACTGAGTTTTACTGTCTCTACCCATGCTTCCTTACAGTCAAAGTTCCCTCTACGGGGATGCTATAGTCCATTGTTCTCATTACTCCTTTGCACAGTCCCTGAATTTTCTGCGTTCTTTACATTCTGGCAAATGGCAATTTCCTCCCTACTCTCTTTCTGACTCACATAGTTGAATATGAAGAAGGATAAACACAACCAGACTGACTGGGCTCATTCTTAGTTCTTGGCTACAGCCTCAAGTATGGCATGGCTGCATTTCCTTAGTCCACCCCCGTTCCCTCTTGCCAAGACTACTGGGTTTTGGGTTTTTTGTTTTGTTTCCTTCCTTTTCTTTAGGCTGTAAAACACCATTTCCCATCATTCTTTTTGGATAATGACCTTGTTTTTTAAACGGGGGTGTTGGATAAGTATTTGTACTTTCACATTATATTTATCCATATCCATAGAAAGTCCCAAAATTGAAATGCTTTGTGATGTCTTTATTAATATGTGATTTTTTAAACTCAAGCAAATCTAAATATATTGCATCAATTGTTCATTCTTTACCATGTCATTTATGAAGGACATAGTATATGAACTGTGCTTTGAAGAACTGTTAGAATTCTATAAGGACGAGGTAAGGAATTCTATTTCCAAGTAAAGAGATACTTAACAGCATAAAGGCTAGAAGTGTAAAGTACCTAGAAATGGTAACTGTTCAATGAGCCAGAATCTGAAAATCTAAATTTCTAAGGAATTTGCACTCTGGTAATGAATTCCTAATTTAATGAAATAGCGTGTTTGTGCTGTGATCTTCATACTGCAATGTTCTTAGCAGAGTCTTGAAGAGGTGAAGTGAATGAATTGTGATTTCATCCCAATGGGCATGTTCAGAGCAAGCCAGCTCTGCTTGAGGCTGGAACCTCCCTGAGAGTTTGCTTTGGAATAATCATATCCTTGCTCTTGTTATTCAGCTAGACACTGTATGTGTGTGCTTAGTACAGCCCTTTATAAATATTAGTACTTAGTTTAATTGGTTCAGTCAAGGTTACACTTTTTAAAAAGTTATTTCTAGCTATGAGACAATGTGCTTGTTAGGGAACACAGAAATAAAGAGAGAATGAAGATATGAACTCCTCTAAAAAGAACAAACAGTTTAGAAGAGGAGACCAACACTACAAAATTAACCATAACAAAATGGGGATAATTAGTGCTGCAGGATCAGGTCTTGACCCTCCTGGGAGAAACAGGGAGGTCTTTCATAGGCATCATTTGAACCAAATGTTGGCATTTTAGGAAAAATGGGTTTAGAAAATCTTACACATTTCACTCTCTTGTTGACATTTTACTTCATTTTTTAGGATTTTATTCGCTATATTATAGTATAGTATCTTTTTAAAGCATTTTTGCTACTACATTTCAATCCCAATACAGCCACTAGAGGTATAATCTAAGAGGCTATTTTCCCAAAATATGTGGTGAAAGCCAAGAGGCAGAGATGGTCTATAACACTAAATCAGGACAAAAAGGCTCTAAAGTTCTCTCACACTTGCTCATGAAGCATCCATTCCACCTCTATTTTATCCTTGTGTTAAGACCATTAGCAGTCATCAAGTAACCTTTTAGAATTAGTATTTAGCAGCATTTTAGAATTATAATCTGTTGCTCAGTGTTGTGAGAAATTGGAAGAAAAGGTTATTCTGACAATACTCTGGTCAGATACTTTGTGGCAATTAGTTTAGGAGCAAAACCCCACAAAAAACAAGGGCCTCTGAACATAAAAAGATTCTTCCTGTTGTCTCCTGGTCTTTGTAAACACTTCAGAAAGGTTTCCCTGTACAGCAACTTTTAGTCTGAAATCCTGTCATTTACTAGTCTTCCTTTTGTCCCCTGTGATACTTTTCCCCAAGAGTGATTTTACTTCATTTTACCCAATGAGTCTCCTCTTAGCCATTTGCTAAACATATTTTGTTACTTTTGTTTCCATATCCTACAAATGCCTTATTCCCTATAACTCAGAGAACATCACAGTAACTCACTGTCAATCATCTCATTTCCCAATCTCTGATTTTTTAACAAAGCCTAAGTGCAGTGCACTGGCTCTAAGTAGTCAAAGATTTGTGGAATGATCTATTTAATATGTTTTATTAAGATTATATCTTGTTAGTAATGCTTCTCTTCGTTAATGTTGATTTCTCAAGGCATTTCACCATGGTGGTTTCTTTAGATGAAAAACAGAGAACTTGGCTATTAACTTTTGTATTTATTTCTCTATATGATATTTCTCACTTATATTACATTGTCTTTTGGAAAAATGGCAGGTGAAGAAGGAAAGTTAAAGCAGAGCCCCAATGTAAATTTTAAGAAAATTATCCATTAGTGTGAATTTTGGATGTAAGACAATAAAAGCATCTTTATCATAACATTTGTTTGAAGAAAAGCACTCTTGTTTTTTAACCAATGTAGGTTTTAATCCAAATTAATAAAATTGAAGTATAATTTACTTAGTTCTGGAAACTTAAAGATAAAGGCATCATAGCATTTTACTATTTTAATGATGTA